CGGGTAATCTCTAATATAATATTTTAGGGAGCTGTATTAAAAATAGGCGCTAGTTTTATAGTATAATAGGCTATATCCTCTCTTATTTAGGCATTTAGAAGTATTTAAGTCTATTAGGTTATATAGTTATATTAGGGCTAGTTTACTTTTCTATATAGGGCTTTTCTAGAGCTGGCTATTATATTTTATAGTTAAGGCAGGACTTAGAGTAGGCGAGGGAGATTAAGTATACTAAGTAGGTTTTAAAATAGCAGTATAAGTCTTTATAATAAGGGGCTAATTTATAGTATACTAGCAGCGGTAGTTCTTAAGGTCTTATAAGAATTTAATAAATTAGTAATATTTATAACTTAAGGGCTAGCTATATAATAATATTTTTTAAAGTTCTTAGCTAATAGCTTGCTTTAATAAGATAAATAGTATTTTTTTAAATATTTCTCCTTTTAGCGCTAGGCGCTAGAACTTAATAAAGAAAATTTTAAATTCCTTATTAATTTAATAGAGGTTAAATAGTTTATTATATATATTATTTATATAATTAGAATTACTAAATATATATATAAAGATATCTAAAATCTCTTAGTAATTACTAAGAGTATAAGTCCTATCTCTAATATACAGTAATACTTGGGTATAAGGCATATTCTTTAAGCAATTAGTTATATAAGCTATATAGCTCTAGGGGATCAAAAATTAGTTTTAATTAATTATTATCTTCCTTTAGATCTAGGCTATAAAGCGCTAAAGGTCCTTTTAATCGCCTTTAAACTTATTAAGGTTAAAGAATCTCTTTAAAAGTCTAGGGGCAAAGGAAAATATAGTAGTAAGTATTTTAAATATTCTTATTAGAGCAGCTATAGGCCTCTTAATATTAAGCTTAAGTTTAAATATAAATATAAGTATATTTATAGTAGGAGTAGCTATATAATAAATATAATCCTTCTTAAGGATAGCTTAAATATATTACTATTTCTTTTTATTAAGCTATATCTCCTAATATTGCTAAATAGTCTTAAGATTAATATTTTCTTATTTAAGTCTTTATTACGTAGCTGCGAATTCCTACTAAAGTTCTTAAAATTTTACCTTAGTTTATTTAATATATTAACTAGCTTTATTTATAAATAATTTAGCTCTAGTAATATATTTATATATTAGGTAATAATAATTATATTATTCTAGCCTATAGCTAGCAGTAATATGCTTAATAAACTCTTCTAGGATTATTAGTAGGAACAGAGAAATTAGGGCAGGTATTATTAATAGTATTAACTCCTAGGTAAGAGCTATATAATATTAAAATATAGGCTTAAGGAGCGGGTTAAAATAAATAGAATAAAATAGTTAATACTAGAACTAGCTATAGGATCTCTATTTAGCTAATTTAAACTAAAACAGGCTATTATAGGCAGGTTTAGTAAATAAAATATAGCTTAAAGAGCTTAAATTTGGATTAAGCTATATATTAAAGATATTTTCGCGAAGTTATATAATACCTTATATAAGCATTAGCTAGTAAATCTCTGTTTCTTACGCTAGCACTATAACAATTAAAATATATAAAAACTTTTTACTTATCTTAAACTCTTTATTATAAAAAGTTATAATAATCTTAAGCTTTCTTTTTTTAAAAGAATCTTTCTTTTTTAAATATAATTTAAATCTTTATATATAATCTCTTTTATTATAGTTAAAATAGTAGTCTTTTTTTTTAAATTAATCTTATTTTATTAATAATTTAAACTTCTTTTTCTAGGATTTATTTAGTCTTTTACGCTAATTATTAGTCTTTTTTCTCTTTTATCTTAAGAAGAAGTCTTTTAATATATTATATATTAATTTATTTATATTTAGTATAGTAAATAAGTTTAAAGGTTTATTTTTTTTAATTTATTTCTTAATTAATAATTAAAGATATTAATTAGTTAAAATTAATTAAGAAGTCTTAGTAGTTTAATAAGTCTATTTAAACTTTAAGTTATAGTTTTATATAGAAAATATAAGATTAAATAATCTTATTATTATTAAATCTTTTATCTTAATTTAGCTTTATATAAGCTTATTTAAAATAATATAAAAAAGCTCTAGTAGTTTAATTTAAATATTAAATTAAGATATAAAAATAATTTATTATATTTTATTCTTAATAATATAGATTATTAAGTAAGTCTAGTAATTAACCTTTAAATTTATTTTAAATTAGTATTTAAAAGTTAAAATTCTCTTACTAATAAATTTAAGATTAAGCTAATTTTTTATTTAATAAGGCTATAGTATAAGTAACTTTTTTATCTTTTATTTTAAATAATAAAGTATTATAAGCTAAATATTTATTTATATACTAGTATTATTAGTAATAAGTATTAAGTATAATAGCTCTATATCTCTATAGTTTAAATAGCTTAAGCTTTAATTATTTATTAATATAAGAAGTAATAAAAAGCTATAAAAATCTCTTTTTATTAATAATTTATCTTTTATTTAAATTTAATTCCTTTTTAAGCTTTATAAAATATCTCTTAATATTTATAAATTAGCTTTAATAATTAGTTATTAAGAACTAAGTTTAATAATTTTTAAGTTTTATAGAATATCTTCTATAAGTTAAGAATTAAAATTCTTATTCTTAAAGTTATAGAATATATTATTATAGCTACTTATATTATTAAATTAAGTAATTTAAACTATAAAAAATAAGAGTTCTTAAAGATTATTAATAAATTATTCTATTAGTAATTATAATAAAAGAAGTAATAATTTTATATATTTAGCTTAGAGAAAAATTTACTAGTAAGATAAAGAATTAACTATTAAAATAAAGAGTTTAACTAGTATAAAGAAAGATTTATATTAAAGAAATCTAGTAATAAAGAGTTTATATAAATAAGAAAATAATAGAGTATATATTATACTAGAATAAATTATTAACTTTTAATAAGATAGTAATTTAAAGCTTATTTATATTTTAATCCTTAAGTATTTCTTAACTTTATATTATATAAATCTTAAAAGTAAAAAGTATAGAGTTTAATTAATTACCTTAATATTATATTTAGATTTAAGGCTTTATTATAATTCTATAAGCTTATACTTTAGCGAGAAGCTAAAGATATAATACTCTTACTAAAATTTTTAAAACCTTATTTTAATTTATTTAATATATTAATTAGCTTTATTTATAAATAACTTAGCCTTAATAATATATTTATATACTAAGTAATAATAATTATATTATTTTAGTCTATAATTAGTAATAATATACTTAATAATCTCTTTTAGAATAATTAGTAAGAATAAAAGAATTAGAGTAAGTATTATTAATAATATTAACTTCTAGATAAAAGTTATATAATATTAAAATATAGGCTTAAAAAGTAAGTTTAAATAAATAAAATAAGATAGTTAATATTAAGACTAGCTATAAAATCTTTATTTAGCTAATTTAAACTAAAATAAGCTATTATAAGTAAGCTTAATAAATAAGATATAGCTTAAAAAGCTTAAATCTAGATTAAGCTATATATTAAAGATATCTTTATAAGATTATATAACTTCTTATATAAGTATTAGCTAATAAATCTCTTTAGTAATTTATTTCTTACGCTAATACTATAATAATAATAGTTTTTAAAATACTTTTAATAATAACTTTAATATACTATTAAATTAATAAAGTTAGAGGATAAAGAAGTTATCTTCTATTAACTATATAAAGAAGTAATTATATAGCTAAGTTATTACTTAAAGCTTTTATACTTTATACTTTTATACTTTATTAAAGTAATAAGTAGCGCTAAGGTAATATTATATACTTTATATCTCTATTAATATCTCTTATAATTAATTAATAAGATATAGTTTTAAGCTATTATTTTTTTATAGATTTATTATTTAAATAGTCTTAATATAATATATTATTAAATATAATTTTATCTATAAAGAATTATATATCTTTTATATTTAAGTAAGTATATTTTTTATTTATATACTTTATAAAATTATAAGATTAGCTTATTTAATAAAGCTAAGCCTTATTATATAAATAAATAAGCTAATTAATTAAGTTAATTAGCTTTTTTAATAGAGAAAGCTACTTACTTAATTAAGTAAATTATATTATATTTTAATATTATAATAGTAAAAAAGATTTAAAATCTATATTTAACTAATAATAAATTATAGTAAAAAAAGTAATAATTTAAGTATTAAATAAGTTTTTTATAAGATTTATTTATTAAAAAAAGTTAAGCTTTAATAATAAGTAATATTAAAGTAATTAAAGCTACTATTAGTATTATAAAAGAATTAAATACTATAATTATATAATAGCGCTAATAAGCTTTATTAATATATTTAAATTATAATATTAAAAGTTATATAAGAATTAAATACTTTAATTAATATAGTAATTAAATATTATAAAATTTTACTACTATTTAAGTATAAAATTATATAATTATTTATTTAAGTAATTAAGGTAATCTGCCTAGTTAGGTAATCCGGTTAGCAGGGAATTACATTATAGTTATAGTAGAGAATGACTAAGCTAGATGACATAAGAAAAGACTACATGTCCCCGCCCCCTCCGGCAACCAAAGATAACAACCTATTCGTCTTCCTGTACTGCAAGAACTTCTCCACGAGGCCCCGGAGTTAAACAGAGCGACCATGGTCAAAGTCGAAGCATTTGCTGTTGAGCAAGTATGTCCTTCTGTATTGTACGTGCCTATACCTTGCCTCACGTGAGTGGTGATGGAAAGATCAACCGTGGACCGGCCTCAGCTTCCGACTTCGCTTCTTCGACCTACGCCTTCCCAAGTAGAATGGAATGGTTCATCACTAGGCAAGAGCAACTCATAGCTGGGAAACTGGTTTTATCGTGATTTTGTAAGTGTCCCTCGGTTTACTCCTAGATCATCACAACTGAGATCATGGCGACTACAGACCGCGAGCGAATGCGCCCACCGGCACTGTCATCATCCCCCGCGCGAGTCCACACGATGTCAGCTGCGTCGTCAAAGTCATCTGGGTTCTCGGATGCAACCAAGCTAGAAACTCTACGCCTTGCGGGTCCCCATTGTTGGTCGTGCAGTACCTGGCGGCCGCAGATATGCCATGTAGTTGCACTGGAAGATACGCAGGTGTGCTATAACTTAACTCTTCTATCTACCTATTAAAATTGGGCTAATAAATCTAAATAGACGGATATATGGGAACAAGCCGGCTTGTTCACTTTTCCATATCGCTCTACCTCGAATGCTGTCCCTCTGTGCCCATCTTGTCACGTCGAATTTGATCGCTCCATTGACCCCGGCTACGTCTTTTTCCCGAGCGATCTCAAGTTTTTCATAGACTTTGAACTTGAAGACCGAGAACGACGAGAGACTGCAGCTGCGAATGGTAATCCAGTTAAGCGACAAGTCCCAGGAGCCATCCAGTACCGAAAATACCAGCAGGACAAAGGTCTAGTTTCGTCAGACGCTATCGGTGGATTGTACAGACGTGTATTCCTGAAAAACTTTCTTCTTGATGGGAGATACCCTGATGTACTGCGGGACTGCTCTACTCCCAAAGAGTGGCATGGCAATCCGATAGCTTCGATCAGACGTGCTTTCGCAGCGCTTGGTAGCCCACGAATCTATGTTCTAGGTTCCGAGATCCGCAAAGAACTCGAATTATTGCGAGATCTTTACTTCGCCGACGTATTTCAGAGTGGCTCTGGTCCTCTTCTTAAACGGCATTTGGAGGAGGAGGAGGAGGAGGAAGACGATGCACCACCAGCAAAGAAAGCCACCAGAGATCGGGGGCCACAACATCTCACCGATACGTTAGAAGAAAAACACTCAAGCCAGTCTGTAAAAGACGCAGTCTGGGCGCTGGGGCCAAATTCTACTTCTAGCACCGCCATGCAGCTCTATGCCCCTCTATTTCCATGTCTTTAAGGATGTCAAGCGCGGGGAAGAACCAACACGAATGTCATTGTCGCCATTGGCTTGAGTCTGTGACTTATAAGTATGCCTTCGTCGAATCTCACCGCTGGGCATGCGACTGGGTTAAGCCTGTAGCGGGGACAATCGCCTTTGGATTCGGGTTCACTGATTATAACGGCTAAACTAAAGATAGGAGTGTTCAGTATATATTAGTAGTTTCCCTAGCTTTTTTAGTACCTTCTTGTTGGAGCCCCCCTCTGGTGGTCTATGCTGGGCGCCCCTTTGTACTGGCGATCATGTGACTGGGAGATCCTATATAGGACTTGCCGGCTTCCTAGTTAGTAATTAAGCAAGCTTCTTACCGCTTCCTTTAGGTTATATTGCCTTTATTTAAATCCCCTAGCTATAGCTATAATTATTTATTATATAATTATTTTAAATTAACTAATTAATTCTATAGAATCTAATTATTTATATATTAATTTTTTAGCATTTAATTCTATTATAAATTAGTAGTTTTATTAGTTATATAAATATTAAAAATTTTTATCTAAGTTTAATTAAAGAGGCTTAAACTCTTATTTTTAAGAGAAAGTTTAAATAATTATACTACTATAATTAATAATATAATTATTTAACTTAATTCTTAAATGCTAGCTTATCTTATAAAGGTTATTAAATATTATTTAGAAACTAATCTTAATATTAATACCTCTTAAGAAAGGTAAATAAAAGGAATAAGGCTCTTTTACCTTAAAAAAATTCTTATTAACTCTAGAGATTTTATAGAAAATTAAGGCTATAGCTGCTAAAATCT